GTGAGGACCGTCGCTGCCTAGCCAAGGAGCAGGGATGGGGTCATCGTAATCATAGCCAAGGGATGCAGAAATCATAAATCATCAACGAATTCACTCAACGATGGTTTTTGTCAAACAAACAAACAATAGACCGACCGACTGTGTGGCAGGGACCGACCCATAGGTAACTTCCCTTGCCGATGCCGAGGGGTGCAACATCCTCCCCAAGATGATGATGATAATAATCTCATCGCCCCGGATGATGAGCCGGAGGACTTTGCATTTGGCCGTTGACAAGCGGCATTCATTGCACTTAAATTATGATTTTATTATTATTATGGAATGGAGCGGAATTGTTGGCCATTAATTTGGTCATCATTTGCAGGCAACTGTTATAAATATTCAAAGTAAGCGGCGTGTGTGGGAAAATCTGCGAAGGATATTTGAAAGGGAAATTTTGGAGGTACAGAGGGAACTTATATGATTTATAATTTATAATATATCCAGGTATTTGTTTGTAACTAATAAGAAGTAAAATATCAAAATGCACGAGCTACACTCGAACAGCACCTGCTTGGTGAGGACATCAATCCCTCTCCCTGCTCTCATCCTTGTGATCCTAACAATATTCCCATCATCAACAGTCACTGCCCCCTTAAATATCCTTTACAAAAAGTGAGCTATTCGCAATAGAGGAGAAAAGGGGGAGCGAGGGAAAATTGCCCATTGAAATGTAAACCGCCAGGAAATCGGGGTTTGGCTTTTTCCGGCTTTAACAGTAGGAACAAAGGCAGCAGAACAGAAGGAAAAAGAAGCGACGGCAGCGGAAAAAATGTATGGCAGACAAACAAACAAACAAACAGATACAGATACAGATACACAATGAGCTAAGGATTCTAAAATCCGGAGAGTGTCAACAACCCGGGACTTATTGGCAGAGCAAGTGGGATGGCAACAGCAGCGAGCGAGATAGACAGAGAGAGAGAGAGAGAGACCGAGGGACAGACGGGCAGGCAAAAAGTAGCAGTTTTGTTATTGTATTGTTAGATAATAATAATCATATCGCATTGCATGCTGTTGACACATGAGCGATGATGCCGCTCATCCCTTGCCATCATCCCGCTTCCTTCCCTCTCGAGCTCAAGTAAAAAAGAGAGCGAGGGATATTCTTCCGGGACCCTTGCTTTTCCGTCCTTTGTTTCGCTTTGTTTCGAGGGCGAGTCCTTAAGCAGGCAATAAATATTTACCAGGGCAATTATTTAGCAGCAATTAAGGCAGTCAGGCGTGCTAACAGCGCTCTGTTAGCTCCCTGTTAAGCAATCACTTTTTTCTTTATTTGGTGGCACTTTTTGTGGCGTCTTTTTTAAATATGTTTTTTAATTAATTCCATTTCGAAATGCTTTTAATAAGCAACTGTCACTCTGACGGCAGAACAAAAAATGTTTTATTTGTGTTGTATTTTTTTGCACTCCATCTGCTGTTTGTTGCTGAAAATTAAAAACCTGATTCACTTCAATTAATCAGCGACTGTCAATGATGCTTAATTTGCATCGCTCGGTTAGCAGCGATCAGGTCCAGAGACAGGATACTATATATAGTATAAGGAGTAAGGGGCGCGGGCAGCACTCCTGTTGCTTCCTCATGACAGGTCCGGGTATTTCTGGACTTTAGTGGAGATTCGATAAATAAAAATAAAGGGTTTTCTTTGTGGTTGATAAATTGCTTTGAAAGCTTACAAGAAATTTTAAGAAAAGCATATTGCTGTCTTTATCAACCAAATATACATATTTTAATAATACGCAAGCATATTTGCCAGCCCTAAAGAAAACACTTGCGAGACGTTTAGTAAAACTCAATTCAGTATTGTATTTTTTTTTTGTTTCTGCCCGACTACGCCCAGAAACATCAGAAAGTCTTTCAGGCCCCAGTCTCCGGACGAAAAAGAAACAACGCCCCATAATAGCCACAACAAAAACAATTTCAGACGAAAGGAAGGCGGCGTGTGGGGTGATGGGTGGTGGAAAATGAGGGGGAGGAAAGGCCGTCGGCTCGGCACTCGTCTGCAAATGACAGCAAGCTTTGCAGCAGTTACATAAAAGCCAAAACATGTGCCATATATACCAACAAAGCCACACATATATTTTATATATAAATACGTACGCTTATATATATATATTTATATATATATATATATATGGGCATGTACAACTTTCTTGGCTGAACCCACGCACACACAAACACACACACACACATTCATTGAGGGGAGATTACAGAGCAACCCCAAAAATATAAGAACCACCCCAAAAAAACAAACAAACAAACAACTTTGCAGCTGTACACAAAACGCCATGACAGGCAGTCTGTGCCGATTCCAATCGTTCCAACCGCGAGGAGCGACTTTTTTTTGAGGAAATTAACCATTTCGGGGCTTTCCGGCAAAAAGTAAGGCGGAATAGAAGCTACCGCTAAATATGCAAATCACAAGGCAGCCGGCCTATTTCACAGCAACGCCTGTATTATATACCCAGAGACTTTGCCATTGGATTTACTTTATTGAAATATTTAAATAAGTTTGTCGATTCCGCACAGCCTAAATGGGATTTGCCAGGGCAAAGGGCAGAGTGAGAGGCAGAGGCAGAGTCGGAGGGCCCACTGTACTTATGGCGCCTTGCCAGCCCTCCCCCGAAAAAAGGGTGTGCCAAGGATGTCTTTCATGTCGTTGCGTCGGAAGGGGAAGTCGAGAAACGTCGACTGAAATTGACATTTTATAAATGGGCGACGATATTTCGGTCGCCTTTTCCCTGGACCCAAAACCCCGCCCGGATCCCGGACCCCGTCGAAACTTAAAGCAATAAAACATATTTAAATTCCAATTTTAATGCCTGGCCGCCAACTCTGTGTGGAATGTGAAAATTATGCGTATCCTTTTGCTGCACTTAGCCGGGACACGAACCCTTTAATGTCCTCGGCCGCAGCGCGTGCCGCCTCGCATCGCTCGCATTCTGGAATTCTGGAATTCAGGCATCTCCCCCGCTGGGCTTAGACCGCAGCGCTACAGGAGATGGATATGTGTGTGGATATATGCGTATCGGGATATGGCCACGGCTAGGGATCGGTGTGCTGCTGGGTTCCCCGAAAAGAAGCAGAAGGAGGTGATAAGACTGATAAGGCTCCGAGCCAGGAGCCCAGCGTGTGGCCGGAACAAAGTCAGCTGCCTGTCCTACTTTTGACTAATTAGTCTTTAAAGATAACCAACTGATAGTCGTGGTGCTTTAAAGTAAAGTGGAAAGTTTTTACAACTATTATCAGAATGGGATCGAATATTTAGAGGTTTTTAAGTGTAAATGGAATGGAATTCCCTTTCAATTCTTTTGGCGCCACACTCTAATTGAACTTAGCCAAATCAAAGTCCACAAAAGCCGACACTTGACATTGTCCCCCCCAAATAAATACAAAATGAGAAAAGAAATCAAGTTTTGGGAATTTGAAGCGCATCGAACTGCATTCGATTCGCTTGTTTTGGCTCTGAGACCCTCGGGACCTGTCAAAATAATTGAGTTCCCGTCGCACAGCGATGCGACCTTTGTAATGCTTATTTATGAGTTTTAAATTTTGACAAATTAATAGAAAATACAGCAACAATCACAATGCGACACGCCATTCAAATCGAACAGCATATTATTATTTGGTGTCTGTCTGCCTCGGCTCTCTGACTTATTACGCATCACAAAAAAACTTTATTCAAATGTGGATAATAAAGCACATAAATTAGTATTAAATTACATAAAGGGGAATACGATGGCAAAAAGGAGTGAGCCGAAACTTGTTGAGCTGGCCGCGAAGTCGCCGCTGGATGTCTTTTTAAGACGCGGGCCCTACCCGAACCCCACCTGCAGCAGCCCAGCTGTGCGCTTTTCTTTAACCCACAACACGGCACACCCCCGTCCCCGGTGCGATTGTCCGCCTTAAGCTCGAGGTGTGAAAATGTTCGATTATTGTCATCGTCAACCCGTGGTGCCCGTGTGGGTTTCTCTCGCCCGGAGGCTGGGACGGGAACTGGGGGCTCTGAGCAGCTTAGTTGCAATTGTCATAAAGCCCGTGGTGGATGTAATGGCCGCTTATCTGCGACATAAATGCCATATGCTAAATGGACTTAGCCTGAGATACTTCTATACACATTTTATTGAGCTTGTTTATGGCAGTTTTAAGAGGCGGTTAATATGGCAAGTGATTGAAATTGATGGGGCAAATATAACATATAATTCAGTTATGCCCTGTTCAGAATTATTTACATATCTTACCGACGATTTTAAGTCGTAAATTTCCCTGAAATATTTGCCAAATTACGGGTTAACCTTTGACTCAACATTATTTATGGCTAATCTTGATTGTATCTCTTTGCATCGGGGTACAGATTTTCCTACTCCCTCGCCATCATATAAAAATAATTTTCTAATAAGCTATAAAATATCACTTCGGACCAAAGGGGGATAGGAAAAGGTGTTACGCACACGAATCAAATAATAAACGTTAGCCCGGTGACCTTTTCCCTTTACCCTTGCCGCTATTGTTCTTGTGCATCCTAAGACACCGGCGGACAGACAGTCGGGGAGACAAATAACAAAAAGGACCCTCGACATCATCGGCACAGGTGAAAATCGTATTCGGGTCGCAGGGTTCGGGATCCCTCGAACAATGGGCCTCTTGATCCCGCATAATTTATATGATTTCTTTCTCCAGTTGTATATCTTGTTGTTTTGTTATTGTTTTTTCTCTATAAATATGTTGGACACACGGTTTTTCCCACCTTTATTAAATTGTGTGAGCGCGCAGGGCAGTTCATAAAATTGTGAGCCCATAAATGGTCATCGTATCTTTTTTTGTGTTGCTCTCGCTGCAGCTATTATTTATTTAATGCGTGTCACATAAATAATGCTATTTATTGCTACTCACACTCAACGGAGTGTATTCCTAGTCTACTTGAAACTGATGAAATATCCTCTCTCCCTGCCTACTTTCAGGCGAGAAGCCGTTCAAGTGCGAGCACGAGGGCTGCGATCGGCGATTCGCAAACTCCTCGGACCGGAAGAAGCACTCCCATGTCCACACCTCGGACAAGCCCTACAATTGTCGCATCAACGGCTGTGATAAGTCCTACACGCATCCCTCCTCGCTGCGCAAGCACATGAAGGTGAGTTGAAATTAAATTATTTACCTTTAGTAAATCATATAGCTTGTATTAAAGAACCTAAAAGTGCTTTTCTAAATAAAAACAATCTCTCAATTCAAAATGATTAACTCATATTTTGATATTTTCCTCTCCATCAGGTGCATGGCAACATTGACGAGAAGAGTCCATCCCATGGCTATGACAGCGAGGGCGAGGAGAGCTCCAGCTCCAGCGTCATCACCGGTGGGGCGCAGACGCCACCCTCAACCCGTCTGGACGGCAGTGCCGGCAGCAGCAGCGGCGTGAGCAGTCTGAGCGGTGGCAGCGGCATCAAGTCCTCACCCCACTCCATCAAGTCGGAACCGAACCCGATGCACAGTGTCCATCTGGGGGCCTCCAGCAGCGGCAGCAGCAGCACAGCCAGCAGCAGTGCCTCGCACTTGTTGCAGCAGCAGCAGCAACAGCAGCAGCAACATCAGCAGCAGCAGCAGCAGCAACAGCAACAGCAGCAGCAGCAGCAACAACAGCAACTGTCCGCCCATCCCAGCGACTCCAAGTCCTCGCCCGCCTTGCAATTGATGGCCGCCTCCGCTTCTGCGTACCTGCCGCCCCCATTGGGTCCACCGCCGTCGCACCACCACCACCACCATCATCACCACCAGGCGGCGGCAGCAGCTGCGGCAGCATCTCCAGGGGCAGCAGCCGCCTCTGCTTCGATGCTGCACCACAATCACCACCTGTTGTACCACCCGGCGGCGCAGCACCACCCGCCCAGCGACTGGTACCACACGGCGGCGCCGAGCGGTACGGCGGATGCAATGAACCCGCTGAACCACTTTGGGCACCATCATCACCACCACCATCTCATGCATCCCGGGGCGGCGACAGCGTATTGAGAGTGGGAGAACTGGTGGCCCGAGGAGCCACCAATGCGCCACCGCCACCCCCACTGCCGCCAAGCTCTCAGCCGCTGGGCCCCGCCGCGCCCTCGGCGGTGGGTCAGACACAGGAGGAGTCGTCCTCGTCGCTGGACTGGATCTGCTGCCAGCGCCTGCAGAACTTGGCCCTTGTGGCGCAATGTGAAAACCAAATATTTCTGAAAGTTGAGGAAAATACTTTAAACTTTTTACCTGATAATTGAAAAATTGCTGTTGAAAGAAAAACAAAATCGATAACTCACATTTTGAATCGTCTTTGAACATTATTATTATGTATTTTAAATATTAATATACAAAAAATACACAAAAAAACACACATACACACACACACAAAAACAAGATATATGAACAAGAAATTGCCTAATTTTTTGCTATTTAAATGTTATGTAAACTTAAACGTAGTTTTCTAGTTGCAAAACAAAAACAAACTATAATTAACACAGATCGAAGTAAACCTACTGTAAATGTATAAAATATGAGTTAATTATCGCATACATGTATAAATCGTACTCGTAATGTTAAATTAAACAAGAAATTACTTAAGCATATTGACTATTTAACTCGTAAGGTTTAGCTAATTTTTTGTCGGAGCTGCTTTCACCTCCCCCCATCATCCCGCTCCCCATCCCAGAAGCTTTCTAGTACAAAACTTGCTAACTAATACACTGTAAAAAAGTTGAACATCGAAGGGATTGGAAGCTACATACATCGCATATACGTACACATACATTTTCGGCCTTAGATTTCTTCAAGCTTAAGTACGCAGAGTAAATTTAAAGTTATCACAAACAAAAAACAAATAAAAAACCAACAAACAGAAAACGCAACAAAAAACCAGCAAGGAAAATAAACTGATAAAAAAACTACAAACAAGTATTAATTATTTATAACGGGAATGGTCAGAGGGGATACAAATATTTTATATGATTTGGGTATTAAATTTAATTTTAAATTTTTAATTTAGTTTAATTTTCAATTAAACTTATCTAAAGTTACGTATGACTTTTCAATTCAATTTAAATTTCTAAGACCCAATTTTCCTTTACATTTGTAATGTGAGTTAATTGGCAATTTTCAATCATTTTATATAAGATAGATCCTTGACAATTGCATGTTTTTCAAATGTTTTTCATTACATATGCTTCGTGTCAAAATTAGCTCAAACTTGATACTTATCGTCTTAAATTCGATTTCGTCTCCGATTTCGAAACCTTGGACTTATTTCCATCACAATCGATATGGTTCCCACACGCTCTTAACAGTCCATTCCGTTCGTTCCGATTAAATTGAATTGCAAATGGAATTTGCAAATTCGTGATCTGATAATTAATCGAATTTGAACGTACCCTGCAGCCGTGTCCGCTTGGATTTGGCCAAACGTTTTATTTGACGGAATTCCGTCATGAATATTTATCGAAAAATTTCGTTAATTTGTTTTGATTGGTTCATCAGATGCTGCCAAAGAGCAAATTTTTATGTGTGCGCTGCGAATATCAAGTTTCCAGGGGCTAAAAGTCATCAAAAACGCCTTAATGGCCAACAATTTACGCGCCTAAGCGATGTTCATTAACATTATCACAACAGAGGGCTGGCCAAATAAATTATATGTCCAAAAGGCAGTGGGAAAAGGTGTCTGAGGTGAAATTATTTTCTAGCGAAAAGTGTGTGATTTATTTCACAAATTTCTTTGTCGTGGAATTTCGGCTGATTTCAGTTGATGAAAGGGCCGTCGAAGACCTGCCACGGTTATTTAGCAGCAGAGAGTGTGGAAAAAGAATCAAACGATTTATGTTTTTTAATTAACCCAACAATTTGTTACGTGCCTCAAACGAACACGGAGGCACACTTACACACTTACACACACTTACACACACACACCAGTGGCTGGTGTCTAGGCTGGACGAGAGGGGTCGCAGCCGCAACGAATTCATATTTTGATTTATTGAATAGAAATCGATTGGATTAATCGAAAGAAATTATATTGCGGCGGTCGGCTGTCGACAAAATTTGCTCTGCCTGTTGCGGCTTTCTAGCCCCACTCCCTACCCTCCCCTCTCTTGACGCGGGAAACACCTCTGGATTTACCTGTGTGTGGAATTGAAATTAAAGGAAGAAATCAGCCAGAAAACTGTTGTGGCGTGCAATTAAATGTTGTACCTGGCGTTGGCCATAAAACGAGTTTGCCTTGCTTTGATTTTGCCTGGCTTAACGGCCAGAAGAAGCGGGCCCCCATATCAACTTTTGATTGGGAGAAATGGTTGAATTAGTGGCAGGCAGGGTTAATTGCCAATGCCAGAAGTTACATCCCAAAATGCGTAAAAAGTTGATTACATTTCTAGGGGTAGAATTACTTTTGGCAACATTCTATATATAGGAATCGTTGAAGAGAGCCATATAACTAAATCTTGAATACTAAAAGTTCTCTTAATGTACACAAACATTTAGGAACAATCTGAAATAGAGGTGAGCAAAGTGCATCCCAGAGGATCCATAATCATCGCACGAAGCATTCTTAAACTACCTGAGTGCCATTTTTTGTCGATTCTCTTCAATCGCAAGAGTCTTCGTCACGCTTAGTTCGGCATTTACACTGTCACAAAAAATATCATAACATTAAGAAATCACTGGATCAGTGGATCACTGGTAGTTCATGTAGTGACGATGCTCACCGAAAATGTGATCCCCAAGGAGATAAGTATGTATGTATATACAGCCATAGAATTGACAATATATCCTACAATAATCTGATCAAAAACATTTATTTCTTGATCGATTTATAACCTTGAAGATTAAATAATTGATTTTTTAAAAGCAAATAAGTTTAGAAGAAATAAGAGTGCAACAAATAAATATTTTGAAAATGAAAGCTAATTGATCGTTTGACAAAGCGAAAGTTAAGCATGAATTAAGTTGCTTGTATTTTATTGTTAATATTAAACCGATATTTTGAAAGGTTGAAACTGCCTTCGGCACTTTTATCTCACTTCTCCTCGAGGGACCTATATATCCGAAGAAAACAAATAAAAATAAAAATTGTTTTGTATGCAAAATACCGATTATTAATAATAATAACATAATCGTTCCATTTATTTTTGTTTACTAAATTATATTAATCCCAATAATTATTTTCAATCCCAATTACTGTAATAACTTTAGATCACTCAGGTCCAGTCCCCTCCCCCGAATACCTTATCTGGGAAACATATCAAAACATCGGCAAACCTCTTTCCCATGACCGGAGCCCAGAACCAGAAACCTTTAAGCAAATCAAGCCACGACCACACAGCAACCGAACAACGTCAACAACTGACACAAAACAAAAACAACAACGAAATATGTTTAGAAAAAAGTAAAATAAAATAAAATGGCCAAAAGCGAGAGAGAGAAAAACTTGTTGACACAAAACCAAAGCCAAAAAAACCATTGCTCTATCGCCCCGTCTCGTTCTGGCCACAGCCGAGTGACTGTTACTGTGACTGTGACTGTGACTGCTCCGCCGGCTCGTTCGTTCACTTTCTGCGTCGGCACAATTTAAGTTTCAATAAGCGACTATTTGTTGCAATTTAAGCTGAACGCGTTTATAAATTGACGACGGAAACTGCCGGCGACTGTGCGAAGGTGGGAGCGGGCGGGCGGCAAGGGGCGGGGCCGTGGAAAATAGGCAGGCAAAGACCCAACGAGTGACAGGAACCCCGGACGTTTAAATTGAACCAACGAGCGTACACATGCCGCTCGAAAAGTCTAATTTTGGGTTTTTATGCGAACGTTAAATATGGCCTGACATTTAAATTACACAAATTAATTTATACTAGTTATGGTTTCCATACTGATTTGTGTACACTTTTTTTTTGTTTTTAGTTTATACAAGTTTTGTTTTTATTAGCATTGTTTGGCGGCTTTTGTGGTTAACTAATTTTTGTTTTGCGGTTGTCATTTTTTAATTGAATTATTTTTATAGTTTTCCGACTAACTGCTGTGGTGGGTAAAAGGGGTAAGAGGAAGTGAGTGGAAAAGGAGCAATTAAAATAGTTTTGAATTTAATACTACTGTGAATTTGATAGCAGTTTTTTAAGGATTGTAATTGTTAAGAGTTACTCAATATCAAAACAACAATTTCTTTAAATTTTCTTCTTTTATATAAGTTCTTTGTACAATAATAAACAATAAATTTCATTACTTTCGATGGCTAATAAGTACTTTTACCCTTTGAGGAATTCGCTCTTTGTGAGCCATTAATTCATGTTCGAAATTCCATTAACTTCATCACTTTGATCAACGCGCCTCGAGAACACAAAAGACTTTAATAATCTAGCACAAAAAACCACGCAACTTAGCGTTTCATTTGTAAACCAAAAAACACAATACCGAAAATAATAGTGTTGGAACAGCTTGGACCTGGGGACCAGACGCAGTGGCACCAAAACACCACACATTAACGATAATTTTAACACTTGGCTAATAGTTTTTTAATCAAAAATTTAACGCCACCATCGAGTTACAATAGATTTCGCTGGGAACACACCCCAAGCCGCATCCCCCAGCCGCCGACCACACGTGAGTTTGGGGAGAAGCCTTAATTACTTTTCGAAGTGCAACCAAAGATGATAAATTGTTCGGCTGGGAAAGCCAGCCTGATCCCAGACTGTCTGTCTGCAGCGATCGCGACCTGGGACTGGCGACTCGCGAGGCTTATTGAGTTACGATGTCAGTGGAGGATCATTAAAATTACAGACAGTACCGGCCAGAAACTGGGTTCCCAAGAAATCTCAATGGCAGGCTCCACCTGGACCCCATAACACCCCCATGCCAATCCACCTTCCCCTCCCCTGGACCCTTCGCATCAAAGGTTTTGTAATTTTTCAATATTCGCACACAAAACAAATTAGCTCGTTGCAGGATCGGGATGGGAGCTGGGATTCGGATAGGGACTGGGATTGGGCTGGCATTGGGATCGGGATCGGGATCGGGCTGGAATTGGTATCGGTATTCCAGCGCATGCAAATTTCACAGGAATCAAAAGGCAAAAGATGAGGCAAATACAAATAATAATAAAAAGGCTTATCCCAAAGCTGAAAAGTCGTTGCGGCGTTGTGACTTATGGCTGAGCTCTTTCCATGCCTCGAACACTGTTGCTTTCGTCTCGCTACTACACTGCGAGAAATTATGAGGCAAAGTTGAGAAAACATGCTGAATGAAAAATAAATTCTTTTAGTTATTTGTTAATAAATAAACGTCATTTCGACAACGATAAAGCAATGATCTTTCGGTGAACCGAAGCCTTTTAAAAATGAATAATTAATTATATGCCAAACTAAAATTGTATCATATTTTGTTTGGCTGATTTTTTAGACTATTGAAAAAATAAATAAATATAATATTTCTTTCTCAAGTTCAAAAAACATACTATTACCTTACCACGGCATTTTGCCTTAGTGGATTAAACTTTTTATAAAAACATAAATTATTTAATAGAAAACATGAATAAATTAGACAACAAAATTAATATTATAAAGTGGGTCAATATCTCAATAACTTTAAAAACAAACAATCAACCTACTGAGGCAACATTAAGGTAATAAAATCAGGAAGTTTTAAACTTGATCCGTAATAATTAATGAAAAACTTGTATAAAATTTAATGATATAATTTTTGTAGTTTTCCCCTGGTGTATTTTTAACTTTGCGGTGTGTCTCGTTCCGTTTGGAGCATGTGCAGACAGTTGTGAAATTATATTTGCGCATCGTCATGGCCATTGTGTGGCTGCTGCAGGATCGGGGAGCTGGAGCCGAGGACTGGGGCCAGGGACTGTCCGAGTGCCCAACCCGATCCAGGTCCACTCGCCCGGCTCAACTCTCGATTTGTCAGGGCAGACGAATAGCTTAACTGCTGGCCAAACGGAGCTCTGCCGTGGCAGGTGGGAGCTGTGGGGAGCAGGGATCCGCAGGAGCGGGAGGCAGGACAGGCCATGGGAGCTAGCCGCGGATCATCGTCATCGTGCTATTCAAACAAATGATTTACAAAATGTTAAATGAATTATGCATTTTGCATATGCGCCTTTGCAGTTTCGTGCAATTTTTCATACCGAATAGGCCCCTAAACCAGGATGACCACTCGAAGGAGGAACCTGTGCCATTCGGCCAGTCGGGCAACATTTCCCTGGTGTTGGCTTTAATAAATTGGCGTGGGGTGCGCCTCGGGCTCGTCCATCCCCTCCTCTCGGTCATCGTCAGCCAATCCTCTGGGTGTTGTTGTCGCAGTCTTGTTTAGGCCATGTCCCTGGCCATGTCTTTAGCCATGGCAATGTCATGGATCTGTGCGGCGACTTAAGCAAACACAGCCATTCAGCATTCAGCCATTCGACGGCGAGTGGAAAAAAGGAAGGCAAATATAATCAAGTCATATAAATTGAGTGCATTTTTCACAATAAATGAAGGGAATTGTCTAAATTATGCCGTGTGCGCTCACATGATGACCACGAAAAGTCGTCGTGGGCAGTGCGTGTGGGAAATAGCTTAGATTGCCATTGGAATAAGTTAGCAATACGATTGGAAATTAGTTCACATTCCCAAGTATTTCTCAGCTGGAAATTGACAAATTGAAAGTTAAATATATCCCCGATCTGACAATATATTAGCTGGCATTTATCTCAAAGTGTTGCCTAACTTTTAGTAATTATGCTTAAGTGACCACCGACCTCTTTCCAGAGATCACGTAGCCATTTCATCAGAAGGAAAGAAAATCAGGCCTCGCCAGCAGTCGAGAATGTGGAAACTGAAAGGCCAATCGCCTCCCAGTACTGTATCGTAAATTATAAACATATCGGGACGCACTTCATTATAAAGGAAAGTGGGGAACGAACACAGAAACAACTCCCTAAAAATATACCCGCTCAATCGATCGAGAGTTGGATCAGGCATTAGGCAGGTGAAATATGTTGATGTGCCTTAAAACAATATTTGCGCGCTGCAGTCTGTTTGGTTAGCAATTAGGTGCATCCCGATCTCGATCCCGATCCGGATCCGATCCGAACCGGAGCATCCAGCAAGCAGCATAAGCCCGACCCCGATCCCGATCACGATCCCTGATCGATCATGTAAACAACCTCAGCATATTTAGTATGTGTCAGGAAAATAAATGGGCGCCTTGAGGGGCGGCAACGGGGCGAAGGGCCCAAGTGCACGACTAGACTAACAGTAGCCATGGGCTAATTATGCTCCTCGGGGGCGGGGCACCTGCTCCGGAGAGCTTCGCCCTTCAGCGAGATACTTGGCCAGCACTAAAGTTGATTTATGCACCGCGTCAGAGGACCCGGAGCACACATATTCCACCAGAACCGAGCCAGCAGACTGCCTGGCGACCCCGCCAGATCGCTGAAAGTTTCAAGTAGTTTTCACAACCAGTCCCCCTCCGCAGAAGGCTTCGTCCCAAGCCAAGTATCATGCAGGAGAGAAATTTGAAAATTTAAATATTTTCTAGGTATTTTCTACTGTTTTCACATAGAGAATTACAAAGGATAAGAGTAAAAAAATGTAAATGTAAAATATTAAAATAAAGAAATGTTGACATTAAATAATTTCAAGATTTTAAATCCGAATTTAATCGTTTGTGGGTAAGACATTAAAAGTTTTGAATAAGGTTTGCTTTAAATCAAAATGTATGTATTTTCCCAACAAAAATAAGTAAAACCAAGAATATATTACATTTGGAGTTAATATTAATTTTAACAATAAGATATTTTGCAAGACAATTAGACAAAACTATAGTCGGGATCTCAAATGATGTATGTAAAAAAAAGCCAAACTAAATCTTTAGATTAAATAACAGTCTAATAAATATATGTACTTATTTAATTAAAATAAAATAAAGTTATATAGAGTATATCCCACACTGATTAGAATTTTCCGCTGTAGGCGTTAGTTAACTTTTCGGAAATATATTAAAATTCAATATCCGAAAAATCATTTTTCGTAGCGTGCAGAGAAACAAATTTCAAGTTGTATTTGAATAAAAAATATATACAGCAATACAATTCAATGAAACTCTCTGCGATCTCTTTGAGCTGTCGTTGCAGTTTTCTATTGAAATCCTGGGTAAGCAGCTGAAGGGCTCCGTTCAGTGTGTTCTCCCTATCGTCCAGGATGCTGGCCGCCAGTTTGGAACATTCCCTCTCCTCCAGGGGCTGCCATTTGGTCTTGGGTGTTCCCAAAGGTTGCCACTTGGCTGTCTCGGTGTAGGGATTAGCACAGGCTCGCAAAACTCGCTCGGCCAGGAGAGATACACGATCCGTCCGCGGGGTACTATTCCCTCCACTTCCGATCGGCGAGAGAAAATGACGCTGGGCTTATAGCTCAAGATACTGCTCGTGGAATCGATGGACCGACGGGATTTGCGACTACTATTGGCGCTGCTTGATGGATTACTAGTTCTGGTTGTCAATGCAGCAGCCATTAGCTTGGCCCGGATATGCTCCTCGTCATCGGTCAAGGTAATGTCCAAGAAATCGGCATCGTCGTCCAGAATAACCGCAGGTCCCTGGAAATCCTCCGGGATATCCATCAGAGCCTCGTCCGCATTGTATATCCTGAGACTCAGGCCGTTCTTGGACTTGATCTTCAGACTATCCATGGTTGGTTTAGACTCATCATCGCTCATTTCACTGGGAACTATGGGAGTAGATGATAAACCTGGCCCCTCTTCGGAGCTTAGTGTTGGATCTTCTGATTCCTGCACAGTTTCATCGTCGACTTGTAGTTCATTGGTGCCTTCAGATGGCTTCACATTTTGATCACATTCGTAAGTAAAGTCAGTCTTTTTGTCTTGAGGCTTCTCCTCCAGATAATTTGTTGTGCCTTCACTACATACATCAGTGAATTCTTCGCCGATTTTGGAACAAAAGGGATTAGTGGGTCTTTGATTTGGATATTCGTCCTCCCTAGTCACACCAAGATCACGATTGATTAACTCATCTCCAGACCTGTCTGTCATCTCCCGATCCTGATTGTACACATTTCGCACAAGTTGCGTAAAGCTTAACACAGAATTTTCTTTGCAGAAGGTTTTCCGACCGGATCTCGGGTATGAAATGTCGGATATATTGCTGCGAAATTCTTCAGCAGAGTCCTGTCCTTCATCGTCAGTGGGATACTGCACTCCAACAGAGACATTCGACTTGCGGAAGGAACCATCCCTCTCTTCCTCGATGTTCATGTCGGTATGAACGTTCCGGAACTCGATCGGTTGTCGCCTCGTCTTGATATTAATGGGACTATTTCCACGATCTTGATATGTCTTGGGCACACTTCCCAGGCGACGATAATGGTGATGACTATGGCGTGTGCTGCTGCGCGAATGATAATCTCTTTGTGTTCGGCTCGACGAAGCCACAGAGGTTGGATTGCCAGTTCCAGAGACACTTAGGTAATCGCGGTCATTAGTCTGCTCCGTATTGGAGCTTTCGCGTTGGTACATCCTTGGTTTTGAATTAACGGAGCTCTCGATGCAAACCGAAGACTCTCGTAAACTCAATGATGACCTGGGTCCATGCGAGTAGCTAGAATATTCGTCATCATATTCCTTGTCGTTGTGGTATTTTACAGAATCGCGTTTATTATATTCCAACTTTCTAGCACTGCATCCCGATCTCTTGAAGGAACTGCCAATATCATCTTTCATGGGGGGTAATCTCTTGAAGGAACTTCTTATGGTATTGAAGGGGGTCATCTTTGGACAGCAGACAGTATGTGTAAGCTGGCCTTCGGAGATTGCTTGACAATGTAGATCTTCAATTGAATGGCCGTATTCCTCAGATACCTTCCCTAGATCACTGGAGTAACTGGATTCTTGGCTGCTATAGGTCCTCGACCCGGATCTCTCACAAGTCCCACGCAGTTTTGACCTGTTAATGTTGTAGGCCCGACAGGCCCGTTCAGCTTTCTGTTGACGCTCTATGGACTCCTCGAAAATTTCGCTATATATCTGACTAAAGCTCTTGGAGTGATCGGTGGATCGTTGACTTTGCTGGGACCTGGCCTGCCCCTCATCCAGTTCACTAGAAATGTATTCCATATCGTCGGGAGCATATTCCTCGGAAGTGGTACCTTCCCTTGAATTTAGGCTTTGTGCTTCGGCCTCTGGGAACAAATCTGTATTGGAGACCTTCTTTTTTACCTTGGTAAATGCATCCTGGTCTTGGACCTCGACGCACCCACTGGACTTTGATGTCGCACTCTTCCCTGTATCCTCTCCCGAGGACAACACAGTTGGCCGCTTTGGTCTCTTGGGAACTTCTCCTATGACCACGCAGTCTCGGTCTCCCTGAGATTCTAATTCGCCCAGCGAGCCCGAGTTCCAATTCCTGGTTGATCCACTGCTGGAGCTCATCTTCTGGTTTCCAGGACGGACCTAGGTATTGGGAAGATCGGTTAAAAGAGTATATCTAGAATTTTCATTAAGCTTTTCTCACCATTTCAAGTATAATCTTCTCTTGGGTGTACCTGTATGTGGAATGTGGGAAGCTTACTTGCCAGCCAGCCTGACATATATAGCGCGGCAGCCCAAACTGTCTATCGGTTCACCAGATTTCATCACCGCAAAGACCTTTGCTTTCAGCGGGCCCATCAATTACGGGACCAACCAAACTTGGCAGCCACAAGGGAGCCAAGTGGCCATGTGGACTGTTGGCCCAAAAAACAGAACTCAATTAGCTAAACCAACGAAAACTCACTCAGCAGCTCGAGAACCTCACATTGCCCACACACGAGCCGCCGAAGAAAAAGTGGAAAAGTGCAGCCAGCTCGGGGCTGTCGGGGAGGCAGGCGGATTCTTGGGGCAGTGCAACTGCGGCCCCATTAGTGTCACTTAGCAGCTAATTATGCTGCGCCCGAGAATTACTTTTTAATTTGTTGCTCTGCGCCCCGTTCCAAAATAAATAAACGCGCGCGCCAAGAACTTCAAGTGGTGACCAGACAAAAGGGGAGAGAACGGGGAGCCACCGAAACTCAAGTGGCAAATATTTCCACTGGAGTTTTGGCAGCCAGCTTGGCTGCTCGTGTTCTCGGTGCTCCACTCTCGGTTCCCAGCTCCCAGTTCTCCATTCTCCGTTCTCGGAGTCTCGCCTTCTATCCCCACTTATTCCGCCGGCGCGTGCTGTGGGCGTTCACCTTAATTTCTGCGCCTGGAGCCTAAGGGCTTGAGCTTGGAGCCCGGGAACCTTCGAACCCTCGGACCTTGGTCTCCGTGGAAGCCTGGTGGCAAAGTGGGCGTGTGCGGACACAGAAAATTATGTTGTTCGTCCAGGCGAGGTAAGGACTTGGACCAAGTCGGGCCAAGATAGAATGGCCGAAATTCTACTGGAATCATTTCATATTTTGTTGTACCTTAAATACATAAATGAGGCATGTTTTGAATAGTATATTAACTCAAAAAGTTATATAAACCTATGTCTTAAGCCTCAATTAATACTATTTGAAATTCTCCAATACATAGGATATTTGTTATCATATTGTTATAGAATCCCTTTTTGATTTTTGACAAAACTGTGTTAATGTAATTTATTTTCAAACTTGTTATTTAAAGATTGAAACTAATTTGCACAACTTCTGAAATATTATTATTATTTTGTGGATTTATTTCCTTAACAGTTTGTTTCATTTAAACTTTATTAATATCAAGGATAAATAGGATACAAAAACCCTTAATCTGACACATAAATGTCTTGCTTAGTTACCAAATTAACTAATTTAACTGACCTTCTACATTTATTTTGAAATATATATAAATGAAATATAATAATTAACATTATTAATTACAACTTAGTTTTCACTACAAGCCCAATTGCTCAAAAATTAAAGGAAATGTACAACAAATATTATCTCTATAGCCCAAAGTAGTTCGCCAGACTCAACTTTCCTTTTTATAGTTTCTCGATCCTTGGACGCTTGTTTACCTTTTGATCTTCACGCCTTTGGTGGCACACGACTCCAGTCGCTTTCGCCATGTTCCAAGTGTTAATTAGACAAAAACTAATTAAGCATTTTGCGCACACACGCTCCAAATGTGGACCCCGACGCAGGGAGTGAGCAGTCAGGGGAGTTGATGGAGCAGACAACGGCGCCACATCACCAGTGACAAAGTCGCCTCAATCAGAGCACAAAGGGGAAGGGAAGAGCTGAAGCTGAACCAGGAGTTGAAGCTCGAGCTGGAACTGAGATATGCTGGGCCAAAAGCGGCAAAGACACATTTATTAAAGCCACTCGGGGCATAAATCGTTGAATGACATGCGACAAACGTCCGAGTTACATTCTGTGCGGTGCGATTGATACGACAATCGAGCAATCACCGGCCGATGGATGTCTTCGGATGGATGATGATGATGATGGGTAATTAAAAATTGATCACGTTTAACAAACTGCTACCGAAACAATATATCACAAATGATCAGCAGAAGGAGGCGGAGGAGCATGGAGGACTTGACAAAGTCACAAAACTTGAGCAGTTCGACCGATTCGGTTGTGTGGACACATCGATCTGGTTGAGCTGCCACATTAAGTCAAAGCTCTGGTTACATTTCATCCCTGCGTTTTTATGTGTGATTTTCCCTACCCTGTGTCGACCGGGTCCCAGGTCCATCAATAATTCATTACGGCCGAGTGATCTATTCAGCGAAGGAGCCAATCCATCGATCGATCGCGAGAAAAAAGATATTTCGCTTGTCAGCCGGGGCCCAGGGCACAAGTGGTTCTTTTTGTTCCTCCGTTTTGAAAGCAAAATTGTGCCATAAATATAATGAATACATATTTGGGAGGAGGCCAGAACAATGGAACCGCTGAGGTTCCGCTCGTTATTAGCCGGGAACTGAACTGAAGGACCCTTCACCCGGAGTGTTGGTTTTTGTGCGATCGCAGGCAACTTTTGATGGAACACCGCCGCAGACGGTTATTGATGAACGAGTGCGATGCGGTAGGGCAATGGATCACTGAGTGATCACGGATCGGCCATCGACGGTCCCCGATCCCCTGAAATCTTCGGATCTGGGTCCCCAGAAATCCGCGGAAAGCCAGGAAACTTTAGACAAACTTTAACCCCTGAGAGATTTGCGCTGAGGTGTTGGATAAAACATAAAGTTCGTGTGAATGCCGACACGTTGTGACAATTGTTTGACAACAACGGCCGCAGAACGACAACAAAAGACATGCAGAACTATGGAAAGGTCGTCGCATGACTCGCCCACACAATCATCGATAAAGTCTTTCGTCTCTCCCCGCCGTTTTCTGTAAAACGTGCCACGAGTCGCTCCGCGAACATTCAAAATATGCAAATGCCACAAAGGTAAACAAACACAGATACTGGCTCTGGCTGAACCGAAACCGAACCAATCCAAGCAAATCCAGTCAACCGGGTCCCATCCCATGCCTCATCATCTCCCTGCGGTAATGGTTGGGTGTCTTTCCTGGCATATTTCCATGCCTTCCTCCGCTCCGCGGATTTCTTGAGCAACAAAAATAAATATAGCAAAAATAGGAATAATAAAAAATCCGGTCTACCTTATGATATTGACAGGCGAGACAAATTTTGTCAGACTCTTGGGCGTTTGTTATGCTCCGAAATTGTTTGCCGATTAGTCGGTTGGTCGGTTGGTTTGGTGTAAATTCAAATGGAACCTGTATTACATTCACTATATTCTTTGTCTTTTCCTAAAGTGACTAAGTAGAATTTACTGATAAGAAGAATTCGATGACGAATAGTGTAAGCTGTCTTTCATTGATTGCTAAAAAGCTCAATTCTTTGATTAGACTGAATAAAAACTATTTCTTTCTTGCAATAGTATAGACTTATCTTACGTTTACCAGGCGATATCAATGCAACCTAATCCTAGAGAACAGATTACTCGAGTTGAGTGTGCTGGGCTGTGCGATACCTGGTAGCAACTCTTTTACATTTAAATGAAATTCAGAAAACGGGGCAAATATTCCCTAGTGACAGACTAAAATTATATAGGATAATATTCTAGAAATTTTTATTTCAAGTTAAAATAAGAAATCATTTCTTTAGCATATAGTCTTAACAAACTTTACGTACAATACCTTATCAGAGCGATAACAAATCGTAAAATATATAGGGGGAGAGAGCTGACTTTCTTACTCGACTTCAGGAGCTTGACGTGAATAGTTGAAATTATTGAACCTAACTAATTGAAAAGCCACAATAATTATGAGCTTTACGGAATATTTAAAACAAAAATTGATCAACTTGCAAATATCTAGCAATGATCACAAAGTGTACACCGATGATGCAGAGGCCTTAATAGATCATGTGGTTCAAGAACTAAAGAAAAAGGACTCTACTTTTAACGATCTCTTCGACAGTTTTAACCTTTGCGGTAAGCTTTTGGAATTATGATACTACTACTACTACTACTACTACTGGTTTAATAATGCAGTAGTGTCCAGTAGTAACCAGATTAACTATTTAACATTTCTCATAAATGTAGTTTAGTGCTAATTATAATCAAAGGCCATTCCCATTAAATATTGTCGTGTTAAACATTGTTTATATTTAAATGCACCATAAAAAAAATATTTTTACTTACTTTTTTAGGGAGTTACTTGGATCAAGTCAAGCTGGATCTTCCCGATCAATTTGATCTGCATATGAAACTAAAATTTCCTTTTAAAGTCACTCCTATAGCAAAGGATTCCGGATATGTCTCACTGTGTGCGGAATATAAATATATATCAAAGAAGGAAGACCTCCAAAGGGCAGCACTTCAGTACTGGCTGCACAGTGTCTTGAAGAAAGTGTTTCCTTCAGATATGATATTAAGAGTGGGCGGTAAAGAGTATACCTTAAGCTATCGGCCAGGAACATTCTTATGTGCCCACAAAATCAAGGCTGTATCAAACAAACGCAACTTATCGATTGACCTGTTTTCGACTTATGAGTTTACGGGTTCCCAGTGGCCATTCACCGATCCACCCGTTCCTCAAAATGTGCGCAATGCGTATCCCTGGCTTGCAATCGATATGTTTGATATATATGAGGACGGTACGTCATTCATAGTCTCTGCCCCGCTGTGGGAGAACGCTTTGATTAAGGACAACCATAAGCTGAAGGATGTTCTTCGCCTCATGAAGGGATTACGAGACGCAAACAGAACACAATTGCCCGAACTTTCTAGCTACATGATGAAAACTGTCCTTTTGCATCGGGCGGCGACTGTCGACTGGGGCAGGGACTTGGGCGAACTATTAGTGGAGATGTGGAGTCACTTGGTGGAACACCTTGACAACGGCAAACTCGAGTTCTTCTTGACAAAAAACGGTAACTTGTTGAGGCGCATGCAGCCTTCAAACCGGAAGATATGCCTAGATACAGCTAAGGTGCTTCTCAAATCGCTTAGGGAAGCCAAACTTGCCAATGATAAATTTGATAACATGTTCGCATAACAATAAAAACACTTTGATATTACCTCAAGGGTTTCAGTATATATTCTACTTAAACATAAATGCAATATGAGCGAGGGTTACCGGCTTCTTCCCTAACCCCACTCGGCCAGATCTACGTTCAGCATGGTTGCTGTTGTTACTCCGCCTGGAACAACGCCACAGCTTATTGATATCGTGCTTATTGATCTTGTTCGGCGATAAGTCTGTGCTCAAATACTTATATATATAAATATTTTCATCGTCGGGCTTAAGCTTCCACTTCCATGGAAGCGGATCGCATAAAAGCGGAGGGAGCAGAAACAAAGACTCCAACTTGGTGTTGGCATTAGAGTCGATCTTCGGACTTGGCCAGTAGTTGAATCGGATTCTTTTAAATGTATCTTCGCCAGCCTGGCCATTCTGCAGCTGAACCCGGGGTTGAGCTCGAGATCAGGACAAGGATGAAGACTGGGATGAGGACTGGGGCACATGTGCCCCAAACATTCTCACACGACCAGCTGTGGAATGGCAAGGAGGATCTCCAGCTCCAGCTCCAGCTCGAACTGGAACCAAAACTGGGACTCGGCGATTGCGGCCTCCTCTCCTAGACCGCGACTATAAATTTCAGGAACAGTTTAGGTCTGCCTTTGGCTCTCGACTGAAGGTCTTTGCCGTTCCGCGAATTAATATTCGTGTGATTTTTTATCGTTATTTGATTTCAACCAAATTTACTGGCCATGCGAGTCAAAGTTCCAGTCAAAATTGTTGCAATTGCAGGCGGCGAAAGGCAATCGATACTACTCCCAGATCAGTGAAGTCAGTCCCATAATAAATTGCATCTAATGGAAGCAGATTTATGAATTGAAAAGAAACCATGATGGATGGCCAATAAAAGTTAACTAAACTGAAAATCCTGAGAGAAAGGGGTAGTAGAATCTGAATCCAGAGAAATAATTGCATTTACAAGCAAATTACTGCTCGTTGAAACTACTTAAGTGAGAAAACCCCAACACAATCTAATCCCACAATCCTAATAAGATGTCCTATAAACTCTTCACCCCATTAACCTTCATAAAGAGACCTGCCAACATGTGTCAACCCATTGCCATAAATGTCCGAAAAATTAACATGAGCCCCAAGTGGCATGGTCCCATACGCCCCAGTGGCCCCAGGATAGTCATTAAGCGACTGAGCCTCAACTTTAACCTTTTTAATGGCAGGCAGCATCATAAAATCATAAAATCCCATCTGAGCCGCACATCGCCTCTCCCGAATACCTGGCAAATTAGCCAAAGCCATAAATGAAACAACATAAACGGGAAGGAAGGAGCTGCAGCCTTGGGTGTAATTATGCAAAACATTTCCATATCAACAGATGGATTGGGCATCGAGGGGCGTTTGCAGAAATTAACTTATTAATTCTGCAAGTTGGAATTTCAATTTGGACGATTCTTGGATCGATTTCGCCTGTCCTTTTTTATGGGCTGCAACGTTTTAGTTATTAATTTCAGTCGCAAACGAAGCCAGAGCCCACACGGCGTATGTGGAATGTCTCTGCGCCTAATGAGGACCAGGCGAGGGGCAAAGAGACGAGGGGTTACCGCAGCAAACAGCAGCTCGTAATTTAATATTTCATGGCGCCAGCAGCACTATAAAAAACGCAGCAGCCTCGAGTCCAGCTCCAAAACGAAATGACTTAAGCTGCACCATTCATTATGACAACACGACGTTGGCCCAGGGACCTGAAAACTCCGCGACTACACAGTAAAAAATACTTTATTTAAAGGTTTTCTAATTAGCTTAATTGTGATTTAATATTTATTCGATTTAATTGGAAATGTTAATAAGCGGAGAAACCCATAGACAGTGTAATTCGGTTTACAATGTCGGAAAAGCTTAACAGAAACCGAATTACTATAAGAAAAACATAATTATATAGTTAGATTTATCGTTTTCTAATGCACCCCTGATCATGTTGACAAGACTTTTGCAAATAATTACAAATAATAAAATTTCTTCGAGTGTCCCAGACTGCTGTCCAGACAGGCGCGGGTGTCGGTGGGGGCATACATTCTCCGGGCTTTTTGCAGATTTGCTGCTGCTTCATCTTCATCATCTTTCGGTTATCTTCGCGGGTCCCTCGGCACAGTAAAAAAATGTCTGCGCCAAACACAAATTTTGTGTTGAGATTGCGATCATTTCGCCGATATGGCCCCGCGCTCCTTTGGCCCTGAAAAGGTCCGGCATTTCGCATTCAGGCGTGTGCGGAGGCGCAATCCGCGAATCGATTCACCCCACCCCCTGGCCCCCTGTCCACCCCCCGAAAAACAGCAGCAACAACAACAAGAGACAAGGTGGAACAACGCGTGACGCAAAAATACCAAACACACAGCATTTGACTGTTGTCTGTTGTTCTGGTTACCCTCTCATGTCACTCGGTTGGACTGTAAGAAAAAAGTAAGACTGAGAATGAATAAAATCGAAAACGAAATAGCTAAGATGGCAGGAGTTTCAATATTTTAAACTACAATATATTATGTTAAAAGAGAAATTCATTATATAGTGGTAAATGGCCTTTAGCTCACACCTTTCCCAGACACTAAAATACTAGATAAGAAAGGATAATTTCAGTTTTATCAAGTTCAAGTATATGGTTCGAGACTCCACTAAACATATAAGAGGAGTCCGAGCGAGATAGATATAGATGAACTATAATATAAAAATAAACAATGTAATGTTTTTCCCACTTTATTCAAAATGATATATATTATATATATTTTTTTTATTTCACGGATTCATGGCCATGGATTATAATAAGTTTTTTGATGGTTTAAGGGGAAGAAACAAAGCGGAATTGTGTACAAGAGATTAAAATGTTGTCCCGAAATTTGGTATATCTAGATTTTGTAGTCTTTGAGATCTGTTGGACATGGCTAAATCGACTCGGATGATCGAAAGTACTATCCTTTATAAGGTCTTTTCTAACAGTTACGAAACCTTGTACTTGTACCTTTTACATATGTGTATACCTTTTACCTACATATGTATATGTAAATACCTACAAATGAAAAGGTATCCCATGCTAACTATGTATTACAATAATATAAAATGATATAATTTATAATATAATTTACTATAATATAATACAGGAGACTACTGATCTAATCTTGAATTTATATTTTATTATCAAATTATTATTTTATTAAAAACGCTTAAATATTCGAATTAAAAATATTAAATGTGAATTAATCCATATGCTTAAATTGCATATTCCATATACCCAGCATATTTTGGCGATAAAATCGCTGGGCCAGCATCTGAAATCGCATTATGTTGAATGCTGAATGAATGATATTTTATGCCTTACTTGCAAATCTGTGGGTTTTCGTTGATTGTTTTTGTTTGTAGTTTTATTCCTTTTCTTTTCTTTTTTTTGAACTCCTGCACCTCGATTCGCCCAAAGCCCATAAACGTAATGTGTACAAAATTGTGAACATGTGGGAACTTTTTCGCGTTTCAGTTTCAGTTTCGGTTTGAGTTTGAGTTTGCTTTTATTTTGATTTTATTTCGTATGCTGGTTGGCCGGTTGTTTGGCAGTTTGGTTGTTTGGTTGGCTGCATTGGACAACATCGATGACTGCGATTGCGTCTGCCACTCTGCCACTCTCCCCCACATCCACGATCTCCATCCCCATCCCCATCTCCATCCCCAGCTCCATCCCCAGCTCCTGCTCCATCTGGGTCTGGTCTCAGCTTTTTGGTGTTGTTATGTCGTACTCATTTCGCTTTTGATTTATGCAGCATACCCTTTCTAAATAATAAATAAAATATGAAATATGTCGTTTTTCTTTCTGGGCATGTGTTTTTTTTTGTGTCCAGCCTCTTGCAGCTCGAAGAAGAACCGATCTTCGGTTTCACCGGACTGCTGGCCCCACCTGAAACCTTCCCAAAGTCTGGGTCCTGGCCAGCAGTTGGTGTCGTTTTGTTAAGTGTCCATCAAAATCATTTTTGTGTCTCCACAACGCTCGAAATGTTTACATCAAATGGACTGTTCTGCTCCTTTTTTCGGTTAGCTCATAAATTATATTTTTGCCAGGCCTCCTCAGGGCTCTGGTTTGTGGGATACTTTTTTTGTTTTGGGTGTGTGTGGTTTTATTTCGGCCCAAAGAAATTGAAAGTTAGACTGCGCCGGAGACTGACAAGTGAGCTGGAGGGAATGGGATACCCACTTTGGGCATATGAATGCTGTGTCCGGCGCTAGTTGGCTGTCAAATTAGTTCGGTTTCACGGTGACTGATGGGAGTTTGGGGCAAGTCAAGCTGCGCCTTTAGGGGGTGTATAAAGGAATAAATTTCAGGATGTAAAGGAATAAACTAAAGCTTCAACAGAAGTACAGGAAATCAGGATATGATGCTGATTTTGAGTCGCTGCTTTTAGTCAGAAACTTTAAATCATCCATGACTTGCCCTTAGAATCGATATATTTTCAGAGATGCACAACAAGTTTTTAATACTAACATCACAAATTATAAATTTTTTTCTCATGTCTAATATTTTTTCATGTTTTCCTTGTAACAAATCATTTGATTAAACTTAATTATGAATAGATTCCAATATTCTTAAATTTTTTTCATGGCTTATTTGATTTAACTCTAATATGAATAAAGATTCCGATATCCTTCCGATTGCAGTTCTAGGTTCAGTTTCTTTTTCCGTGCAGACCAAAATTTGGAGGCAGTTTCGGTGGTCGAATTGACTTCGATCCACCTTCAAGCCGCGAGGACAACGGGAATCAGAAACTCAAGCACAAGGCAATTTTTGTAATGTAGAATTAGATGCTGCACTCAAAAGGCATGATGTAATCGTCGAGAATTCGCACTCGGCGAAGTCTTCCCTGGGCGTCGACACCCACCTGGCCCACCTCTTCACCTTCGGCTGCAGCCCGCTTTTGGTCCTTCAGGGCGGCCTCCTCCTTCTGCTCCGCCTGGTGGCGTTGCAACACCAACATGGAGGCTGCAACAGCCGCCTCCTGGCGCAGCCATCCGGACATGATCCAGATCTGGCGAATGCAGGTTGTCAACGAAAATGGCTTCATGGTGAAAAGATTATCTGCCGGGAAGGTATTTTGAAAATTAAGTTTCACTTCCAAAGGACGTACCTTCGCACACACCATACAAAAATCAATAGAAAATTATTTAGTTTAGCTAGGTCAGACCGAGTTGAAAGACTGATGTGAAGAGAAATTTGGATTTGAACACACACCAAAGACTATGACAGTTTTTGACGGCCTTACTAGTTCAATGGATAAAAGTAAAAAGTTGTAAAAAAGCTAAAGTCGAGTGTGCTCTACAGGTTCTTAGATGTTCAGGGTACTAAAAAAAACATTCGAGGCTTAACATTACTAGACATTATGGACTGATAACTCTCTTGTTCTCCAACCGATTGTAGGAGAATTTTGTTACGTTCTGTATAAGAACCAGGATCAATAGATTCGTTAATTTACAAATTATATTATTTTTAATTTATAAACTAAGTCAATTAATAGTTGGAATATATAATTAATTAGGCTAATATTCCTTTACAGGCTTTTGGACAGAATCGTAATATTACAATTACCAACTAAGCTATAATTTAATTTAGAGGCTATGGCTGCCTTACTGAGGTTCAGATAAAACATATTGATTAATCTCATTTCATAGATCTCCAAGAGTCCCCATTCATGTTATGCATGTTAAGTAAGTAGATGTTCCTTCTTAAAATAGCTAATATTAGATCCAAGAAAATGAAATCCCTAAAAAGGTCGTCTGTGCCATTTCCAGTGTTTCGTAAGCAATTACCATTACATAAATCAAAAGCATTTCGTTTCTTTTTTTTGATATCCTTTAATGGGTTGTAAGGAAAGTGAACGTCAGCCGGATGATCATAAAAATAGGCATTCAAATAAATAGACTAAACCGGATTTGCAACAAGCCCAGTACCACGCACACGTTGGCTCACACACCTCCGCATCAGTATCCGCATCCGTATCCGCAGCCCCATCCACTTCCGTTCATATGACGCATTTCCTTCGAGCAGCAACAACAACAACGAACTGCAAGTGAAGTTTCCTTGTTTGAAGACCCACCATTATCCTTTCACACGCAGTCCTGGTTTTCGGGGGAAAAGGAGCTGGCGCTTTCGGAAAAAGTCAATTAAAAAAGTTAAATAAATCATAAACTTGGCAGATGATTTGATTGCGGCGCAGGATTCCTCGCTCAGCCATTGGGCCACAATGTGTCTATATGTTTTCCCACTTTTCTCATAGAGGGTGGTTTTTACACAGAGAAAAACATTTAGTTGACCTTAGGGGTATCATATTTAATTCTTATTAAATTCGGATGATGCTATCGCTAACTAAACACCAATAAGAATGAGAGTAAACGTATTTTAACAATTAATAGATTCTTTTTTTTATGGATTATAATAAATACATCATTTTATTAAATTTCCTAAGAAGAAAACCTTTAAAATTTTCTCATTTTTTTGGTTTTACCTTCTGGGAGCAGGACAAAATATTCTTTTTCTGTAAATCTGTGTTTGTTTTATTTGCTCGAGTGTTACAGGGGCTTTCATTCATTGAAGGGAAATGTTCTTCCGTCGTCCTTCGTGTGTTTACTTTGCTGCGGTTTTCTTTTTGCGAGGCTTAGCTTCCGGACGGGCGGATGGGCGGATGGGCGGACATCCGCCGAACGCCTCGTTCCCCAGTTGACTTTCGGGCAATCATAACTGTAACTGTAAATGCTCGGCGACCGTTCGGCGGGGGAAAATTTATGAAGTGTGGCGTGTGCAAGGACACGTGCTCGGAGTCCTGCATTTGAGTTCTGGGCGTGCTCTGGGGCTTTCCATTATTAAACATTTTCGGCCGCTCTTCGGCGGCTGGAAGTGATTTGCTTTGATTTTCTCGTCGGGCATTTATCATTCTCCCACTTGCTCCTTCGCTTCTTGGCAGTAAATGAATTTTAATCAAATATATTTTGCATAATTTATGATTTTCATGGATATTTGTCGCATCTCTCAAAGCGTCTACATGTACATTTTTACATACATATATATTTATTTCTTGGCAGTCGTTTTTTAACTTGTCCGCACCCGCATCCGTTTCCGCAGTTGTCTAGGGAAGGAAGAAGAAAATTCCAGGCTAACAAAAGTATGCGATTTTAAGGTACTCTAAATAAGACATATGTTTTTAAAATAATATAAGCATAGGTTATTTTCTGGGATTTATTAGTATTTTGAAAGCACTCTGCAAGAATTAAATTTAGAATTATTAAGTACCTAAATCTGGTTATTACATAATATCATTAAAATTTTATGTTATCTTGAAGTTAAACTTGAGTAAGTTTATTAAATGAATTGTTTGTTTTCCTTATCATTCCATATTTTTTAATATTCTTTAGTTGTTTTTTTTTTAGTTTTCCGACTCTAAAGTCTCGATTCTCTGAACTTATTCAAAGATTTCCCCAACTTGTATCCTGCTCCTCTTCTGTCTGGCAGCCATTGCGAACTCACTGCGCCAATACGTTTCCGTTTTCCTGTCTGCCCTGACATTTGCAGCATGTTGCTTGTCATTATCCTTGGCTCCTTTCAGCTTCCTCAATTCATTTTCCTTTTTCCTTTATTTTCTTTCCTTGCCTTTTTTATATACATATTTTTGGGGCCTTCCGAAATGATTTAATGACAACGAATGAAAAATTTATTGTGCGTGAAGTTTCTTTTCGCTCAAGGGTCGTTGGATAAATTGGCAACGACATCTCGGCGCTATTAGCTAACAGAGTTTCTGGACTTACCCACCCCTTGTTTAAATAAATACATACGTTTCTCGGGGGGTGAGGGGGCGGTCCGGACAGAGATAGGTTGGACAGATAGCAGGTCCTGTCAATGTCATAACTATGTGGGCGTGGTCCCATTGCCTTTGTCTGGCGGGTCGATAATTATGTTGTCAGTTCCAACATGTCCCCGATTAACCCTCCAAAGTTTCGATGCGGGTGGCTTGGGTTAAATTACCAAGGATTGCAGTCAAAAATTGCAATTGCCATACACTTGGAAGAATGAGAAGCGCGGAGAAGGGTCCAGATTGCTTCGTAATTCGAGAAGCCACTTGCCAGAGTTGAAAAGCAGGTTTACTGATACCTTACTGATATTTGAAATTAGAAAGATTTGGTTCTAGATTCAAGAACATATTACCATTAAATATTAAATATTTGCGAATTAATTTATCGATGCCAAATAGTTAAGGGATAATCACGCTCCCCCTTGCTGTATACAACATTCTGAAAAAATCCACAGCTCCTTTTGAAAGGAGCCCGACCCATCCCCAACCAAAAGCCATTGAAGACGTCACCGCCACTAGTGGCCCGGGCCATTAAAATTTCAATAGCTTTGCCCTCGGACGCGGAGTTCCTTCCTTTGGGCTACCAACCAATCGTCCGCCATCTCCTCCTGTCTCTTGTCAATATTGGACAATTCATGCGCATTGCGTAAACATCCGTTAAAACTTTATTTTATGGCCGCCATTTTACGGACGTTTTGGTGTAAATACATTTCCGCCAGCGGCAACGGAGGAGGGGCAGCGAACAACGGGGACCAGGGACAAGGGACCAGTGTCCAGAGACCTCGGTCCAGTAGCCAGAAAGGAACCGAAACGAAATCGAGACCCGGGCCGGGGACAGATTCTGGCTCAGGAAGCGCAAAAAAATGGCGACGCCAACGGACGACGGTGGAGCATCGAAAGAGATAACCGGCGTACTATCGCAATACACAGAAGTGGGAGCGAGGAAGAACGAGAGAGAGACGGGCGACGGGCATAAATTATGCACTGCAAAATAAACGACGAGGCGCATAATAAAAATCGGCAAAAATTGTGTACGCAATCAAAAGCATGAAATGGCAATGAGAATCTCGGGGAGAAAGAAAATATGTCGAAGGAAAATTACCCTAACTTTTATGGGGTAACTAAATTATATTGATCTCCTTTGCCAAAATGAGAACCTTTTAGGATAGTTACTCGATGAAGTAAAACAGTTAAAATTTAGATTACTGTGAATTTTTCGTTTTTTTTTAGAATTTAAGTAAGAGAGGAGCTAAAATTACAAGTTTTAACATTATTATTAAAATTATAATCAAGTGATACGAAAATATTTTACGAATACAAAGTTGATTTGAAAGTATCTCTTAATATTTCCTTATTTTTCCGAAAAAGTTAGAGCATCAACTAAGCCACACAGTAATATATGCGATTCAACTTTCTTTCTTTTTTTTGCTGCCACACAAGAAAGCAATTTAAGGAAGCCGTCGCAGAGGCCAACAAAATAAAAGAAAATCTGACAATTTTAATGAAAAATCTTGTACATTTCGAGGACGAAGGAGGCATGCGATCGGGGGCAGGAGCTACGTATTTTTGTGACAAGCATGTGACCCAATTATGCGCAATCATGGCGACAAGTTGAAGGAATCATAACAAACAGTTCCATTCAGTGGGGATCTGGATCTGGAGCACAAAAGGCGGAGTGTCACCGGCACAAGACACGAGGCGAGTTTTCTTCGACTTTCCCGTGCCCCGTGCCCCGTGCCCCTTCCCCTTCCCCTTCCCCTGCGTTCGCAACAATTTCAATTTCAATGCGCCTGACAGCGCCAGTCCGTCATCAGACGCTCCACTCGCCCTCCTCGATGCCACCCCGTCATCTAGGAGCGCAACTCGAATCAGCGGCGGAGACAACGTGGCTGGCTGATGACGATGATAAGGACGATGACGACAATCAGAGGCAAACAAACAAGTTAATGTTCGAAGGGGGAGGCATACTACACATTAAAAAAACTGTACAAAAATTAAAAAACTGCTTACCAAAGAATGTAGAATTGGTTGAATTAACTACTGAAGTTTTGAAGAATTTATATATTTTAACTTTTAATTATAAGAATTATAATAATAATCATGTGATTTATATATTATATATTCATTATTTATAACAATAATATTCTGTAATCCACAATCAATTTTAAATAAAAAGTAAAGTAAGTAAAAACTTTAACTGCATTAAGTTCACTTTAGAAAACGATCTGTTTTGAAAATAATTGAAAGAACTACAGGAATCGCCTCATCCTTCTATAATTTGTAATCTACATAAAGGAAAATTGTCAATTAAAATTAAATAATATATTTTATAAATTAAAAACTTCATATTTTCAAACCGAGCAAGGGAAATAATTTATTTTGAGTGCACTAAGAAAATTTGCCGCTCATTGTGTAC